TGCAGCAAGAAATCTTAGAGCATATCTAAGAGTAAACATAATAAAATATATGTAAAAATGCATGAAAAAAATTACAAAATATTTTGAAGTACTCAAAAGCCCTGAATAAAATGACTGAAAAATTCTGTTCAAAGTGAAAAAAAAAGCCATAAAGATTTTAATCCATCTCATTTATTTGATAGATGTAATCGAACTGATATTTAAATCTCAAAGAAGTTTGTTTTCTTTTAAACGAATTTTTAAAATTGACTCAAAAACTCACAGGAATGAGCAAAATGACACAAGTATCAAAACCATTGCTGTTGAAAAAGATAACAGCTTGTTAAAGTACTGAACATGCAGGAAGAGGATGCAAGATAAATTATAATGAATCTATCCTCTTGGGGTGGATAATTAATAAGTGCATACTTTATGAGGAAAACAAATAAAGGGTAGCTGTTTAAAAACAAATCACAAATAAATGAACTGTGATAAGCCTCACCATCTCTGCTCAGACAGGTCAACTCACTGCCATGCAAGAGTCCTAGGAGGAAGAGGTCACTGGGGGTCAGGGGAAAGTCTGCAAGGCTATGCCTCACGTACATGTGAACATATCTGGACTTCATGACTTGGGAGACTCTCCTCAGCCTAGAAAAATGAGTTTTTAAGACCCTTAAAGAACCATCTCAGGAGATTTTCACTGAATATCCAGTGTTGTGCATTGTTTCTTGGAAATATTTTCCCTCCTTCGAAGTTGATAGTGTTTTCCAATGAAAGGAGGCTGAAGGACAGTAACAGCATTAAAGAGAGATGGTCTCTGCTTAAGGAAGAACCAAGAGAGGACATTTCACAAGTCCTCTTTATTTTTTTTTCTCCAAACAAAATGTAAATCAAAAGAGATCACAGGTGCATCAGTGAAAAGTCCTTCAAATGACGTGCCTTCCTATTGCCTTTCTGAGCCCCATAGACACACTGAAGGAGGAAGGAAGAAGGTGATTTATACCTATTTACAGAATTTGATATTCCTGCAAAGGCAATTGTGTAGCTCTTGATAATTTAGCAGTTCAGATTCATCATAACATTTCATCTTCAAGGGCTATCTCAATTCCTCAAATAGATCTTTATTCTACCACTCACCCATTCAAGGATGAAAAATGTACCCCACTGTATTAAATCAAATTACCTTTAAAACCTGCAGCTTTTCTTCAAGTTCTGTTCTTCTGAGAATGGTTGTTGCATTAAGAGTCTCTATCCTGTTTTAAGGAGGAAAACAAGGTTGGGGGTAAATAATGTGAGTGAGTGATTCATTTGGATGAGTTTCATCTTGATGGAGTTTGACACTTGGAGGACAGACCACACTAAAAATGCAACATAAATGTCACACTTCCATGGCCCTTCAAGGACCTGGGATCTAAGCCAAGTGTTCTCACTACATTTGGAGAAATAAAATGTGTAGTGGGGGAGAGCTCCCCTTGAAAGTGTAGATGAAAAGATCCTGGTAAATTCATAAGTTTTACTTCATTTGATAAAATTGCTATGTGATAACAATGGCTGCTCTGTACCAGAATCTATTCTTTTGGGACAGGCTGAATCAGCTCATGCATGTGGTAACTATTTATTGGGCATCTAGCATGTGCCAAACTCCAGACACGATACGATGAAGAAAAGGTATGACTAAAACAGCAGACTCTGGGGCTCTCCCAACAGTGGGATCAATGTGCTATTTCTTGACATGGGCGGCAATCCTTTCCTGCTAGGATTCTGGGAGGCCTTACCTCCGTAAATTGCCTTATCACTTGAAAACAAGAACTAAAAGAACCAGAACAACTATAAAATAATAACCTTTGTATGACTCTTTCTTCTCAAACCTTTAGTTTACAAACTTTATTCCCAGAATTATCACTTTAACAGTGTTCTTTTCTTCCTATGCCAAATGCTTTTCTAATAATAGAAGACTTATTCTATCCTGACTGATTTGGTTTGTTTTGTGTGCTCAAATTACCTTTATTTTGACTACGAAACTATCAATCATTTATGAATCACTCCTAAGCATTTTAAAATACTGGTTCAAATTCCTTCTGATAACTAGGCTGTAACTGTATTTATAAAGATGCAAGCAATTTCAGAAGGCATGGTAAATGCATAAAATGTGGAGACCAATTTTCCTCTATTTCTAATAGCATCATACCTGAGATAATGAGCTGACAACAAGCCAAAATGCTGTCTGCTTTCTAATTAAGACAGTCTCGATTCTCTGAGCCATACAGGGGATTGCTGTGAACCTCTGTCACTGAGACTCTTAATGTGGGTCTGACTTGTTCGCATAATAGATATGCATGGGCAAACCTGCAGACCTCAGCGGACCCTTCCTTCAATATTTGTGCAGATTGCCTTCCATTTGCCTGATCTGTGGACTCTCAAGTACTACCCCCCTCTATGATCTGCAATCTGTTCCCTTCACCCATGTGAAACATACATTTCTGACTCTGCCAGCATTTTCTCTTTGACTCTGCATGGTGCCTGCCTTCTGAATCCAAGTTTCTCTGGAGCAACAGTACCCCCATCTTTTCCCTGAACTCACAGAACCCACAGAACTGATTTAGTCATTTACCCCCATCAATCATCCTTCAAAACCACTCATGCACACCCATCAACATATCCCTGAAGTATCAAAGCGTATCCACCAAATTCTTTCAGCAGCTCATGATGAGAGTTGTAGCTGAAAAGAATGGATCCTGGTATCCAGAGCAGGTGACCAAATCCAGCCCTGCCACTGACTATTTGGGTAACCTTAACAAGGTCGTCTCTAAGCCTCAGGCACTTCATGCATAGATAGGAATAAGACCAACCTAAGTAGCTGTGAAGAATGGATGGGATAATATTGGACCCACCTCAATGAGAATAAAACCTAAACTCTTTGGCATAGCTGATGAGACCCACGATCTGCTTCATGGCCAACTCTGTCTTCATTTTGTATATTCTCATTAACCCACCAGCTACTTATTACACTGGGTTTCCCTCTGTCGCTTCCACATGCCAAACCCATTCTGAGGGCTCAGAGGTCTCTCTCTTTACCTAGAATGTGCTTACTAAGACTTCCTATGACCAACTTTCTCTCTACTAGTCTTGGCTCAAGTTTCCCTCTTTAGAAAAGACCACTTAAAACATCTAAAACTGAACAAGCAGACTTCTTAGTCGGTGTTCTCTCCCCTTGCCCTATTTTACTTTCCTTGTAGCAGTTATCAACAACCAAAATATGAAAAAATTACTTATTTTTCAGGATTTTCTTATCCATCTCCTTCCACAATTATTAGAGTTCTAAGAAGGTCTTCATCTTTGCCTCTCCGGAACTTACCACTAGTTACATAGTATTTATCCATAGTATAATTTTAATGAATGGGTGAATATTATTTTCTAACTACTGAGAGAAGGTCTAGGAATGCTATGATAGAAGATGATGATGCTGTTTTTTCCTTGAGGCAGTTTTCACTCATGGAGACTCAATATTGATCTGGAAATCAGTCAAGTCTCTAATTGGAAAAACCAATATCTTATAAAAATAATTCTGGAATATTGGTAGAAGTGTTTGTGTTTCAAGGTTGGGAGAGTTGAACAAAACTTGATTCTTTCTCCCAAATGAAATAAGAGAAAAACGAGTGGCTGGTGGCATAAGAGGGAAAAACTTAGTCTTCTGACCTTCTATTTGTTGTATCTACAAGGTTATATCAACCATGGAAACTGAACCAGTTTTTCTCAGTCCAAAGAATGTGTGCCACTTGAATTGAATTTGACATTGAAAATGCATTTGTAAATTCACAAAGACATTGGGGCTATTGATACCCACTGACTTCAGGTGTCGACAATATGTTCAAGCCTGAGGAAACCTTGAAAAACAAAAGGAACTGAAAATATGTGTACCCCATCCCAAAGCTGCAGTGTGCTGTCTCCCCTGTGGTGATCCTTAGACAAAAAGTCTATTCATTCACTCAGCAAGCATTGTGAGTCAATGTAACATCTTTGAAACCTTAGGGGAACTAAATGGATAGTTACCTTAGCATGTTTCCTGAGGATCTGATCAGGTCAACCACTTGCTTGTGTGTAAAGCCTTCTGTGCTCACACCATTGATATTTGCAAGGACATCACCTGGGAGATGCCAAGAAAACTGAATATTATATCGGTTAGTTAAATAATCCCTCCTGACATGCAAATGAAACATAACAAGCAAGCTCCACACAGTCTTGGAATCATTCAAGAAAATTTAAAGCAACAATCACCACCTGACCTTCACTATCCAAAAGCTTTCTTTTCTAGCTATGTAAATGGCTCTTAACAGGAGCAAAGTTACCTTACCAGCTTGCAGACCAGCAAGGTGAGCTGGACTGTCCTCCTGTATTTTGCAGATCATAGTGTACAATTCCAAGGAGCAGATGTTCTGATTCTGGAGCCTGTTGGTCTACAAAATTTAAGGAGATACCGAGTTACTACTCAAAACACTCAAACTATATGTGTGAAAACATGAAATTGTATCAGTTATTGTTAAGTGGTAAATAGGTAAATGCAAAGGACAATTTGGAAAGGCTTTCTTGACTACAGGTTGAATCAAAGGTAGCAATTTTGCAATTCTACCAGACAATGTGCAACCAACTTCATTCATAAAAAAACATCTGGCATGAGAAAGAAAGTGGGATGAGAGTGGCTCAATATTTCCTGTTTTCAAGCCTAAGAAACCACCTGATGCTATCATCATTACATATTTATTAAGAAAAATTAAGTTTCTTATTTCTCCATGGGATAAAACTATGGTGGCCAAGAGCAAAATCCTTATTTAGTTCTTAAAAGCTAAAGCACTCAACCTAGAATATGACACAGTATATATTCAGCAAGGGAGACATGCCAGCAATGATTATTTTAAAACAGAATTCTGCAAATAATGACAATCTTCCCTGCATTTATTCACAAACGCTATGATTGACTCCATTAATTTCATTTCTAAGCACTCTCTACTATGCCTTCCCCGAATTCTTACCAGTTTATCAGTTACCCAATTAGAAAAAGTTAGGCTTTTTCTCTTACCTCAGTGTGGCACACAAGTAGTTTGTTGATGTTGGGTTTTTGTTTCTGTTTTCAAATTATACCAAAATACTGAAAATATGTGCTATGTACAGCATCCCAACTACTCAAAACAAACATATTGTTCTTTTTAAAACATTTAAGTTATGGAGTCTAGCTCCCTTTAAAATCAAAATAAGTATTTTGAGTTGAGTCTTAAATACTTGATTACTAAAAGTAAGCCACACTACATGACTGCTTCATTGTGCAGAAATTAATGTTGAATGTTAATTCTTTCTTATTTGGCAACCCCTGAGGCACCACATGTCAGTCATATGCAAGTCACATCTAGAAACTTTGATCTGTTAACCTTCAAGGGGTTTCTGCTCAATCCCTAAGGCATTCAGAGTCCCCATATCTTAAAAGTAGAAGGGATTTTTAAAAGATCATGTAATATACTTCTCATCTGTATCAGAAATGGCTTTAACAGTTTTCCCACCAAAGCTATCACTATAGCTCAGATCCTTCCAGAGACAGAGGCTGGTCTACTCCATGTGGTGCATGAACCAAAGAAATAGCTGACATTCCTTTTGGAAGCCATTGTTATAACAATTTTCATTATCAGTGAAGTTCTACCCTCCATCCCCAGGGATCAGAGTGAAAACAATACAGGGGAAGCAATTTGATTTATGTAATTGGCACCTGAATGTACTCGTACTGGGTGTAAATTTGGAGATTAGAAATAGGAGTAAAATAACAGACTCCCCAAAGTAACAGAAATTAGTACTTAAATATTTTTCTCATTCTCTCTCACTGATCTATTGTCTCCCATTACAATAGCAGGGACAGAATGATCACCTGCATTTCATGGAGACATAAAGATCACATTGCCCTTTCTCATGCCCAGTGACCTTCATTTCAACTTGTCATATTGATCATCCACTGATACCAACCACATTACTAGAGACTTTATATGTGTTATTGGAAATCCACAAGGACCCAATAAGGCAGTAATTAAGAGAATAAGAACCAAAGTGTACATGAATCTAAAGTCTATGCTCTTATCATGCTGCATTATTCTCATATGCAGTGTAAAATGGGCACCCTTGGAAAACCACGGAGGAAAATGGATCTGGTATTCTCCAAAATGTCACTCTCTTGGCAGGCCAGGACCCAGATATGTTTTTACACATGGTGCACATGAGGATATGTAAGGTTCTATTTGGCCTGCAAAACGTTCCTCAAAGCATTTCCCCTATTTGTTGACTTCCTGTCTCACTAAGATAACATACATGCTGTAGCTCAGAGGTTAAGCCATCAGCTCATGTCTATCTAAAAGATTGAGTGGCTCTGTGGCCTGTTGTCTACTCATGATACTTTTGACTCTTGTTCCATGTAGAGTAAGTATTTATGGCATGGGAGGGAAACATAAGGAAGCAGTGATAAATAGTATAGCAGAATGAGAAAAATCAGCTACACAAGTAATCATTTATCATGTTTTCAGTAGCAACTGCTGCACATTGCTGAGGATTATTCTCATTTAAAAAGAACCAGTCACAGAACACACAGTGTCTCTGTCAGAGAATAAGTAGTGTTTCATGTGAACAGGGAATAAAAGAATACTCTACTTCTAAAATCTGATGCATTTCACCAATTATTATGGCAAATTAAAGATTTTACCAAATTTAAAAGTGGAAGAGTTCAGACAGTAAAAGGCATACTTTTCTCCTCTTTCTCCTTATTCATTCCATTTTGTTTCTTTACTCATAAAAAAGTGTTTTACTTAGCACTTCCTGTTCCTGATCTTAAAATACATACTGAGTTTCTAATTGTGGGGCTGATATCACACCAAAGTTTTCTGAAAGCAGCACAAAAGCTAAGATCTCAAATCTGCAAAACACATCTAAAAGAAATGTATAACTGCTGTGGAAAGAAACAGTTATGCTTAAACTACAACCATTGTGCTTAACTGGATCAGATTTCATTTCACCTGTCTCACCACTTCTCCTAATGTGGTCATGAAAAAGCAAACAGCAAATAAGAAATTAAAATTTTAGACATTTATACTGAAACCTACAAAGACTGTTTAAAAATTCCCTACATCATGGGGCTGGGAATATAGCTCAGTAGGTAGAATGCTTGCCTTACATGCACAAGGCCTTGGGTTCAATCCCCAGTATCACAAAAGAAAAAAAAGAGGTGAGGGGCTGGGGATGTGGCTTGGTCACTAAGCATCCCGAGGTTCAACCCTTAGTGCCAAAAAAAAAAAAAAAAAGAAAGAAAGAAAGAAAAAGAAAAAAATTCCCACCATCATGAAGAATCTGTGAGTAGAGTCAAATTTCTTAAATGTTTCAAGTAATAAAGTGCCTTCATCAGAAGAAAAAGACAAATCTCTCATTATCTCCACTAAGAAATCATCAATATCAAAATATCAGTAACTACACATGAGTACATGTATATCACATACACAGTCTATCAAGTGTTTCTCAAATATTGAGGATTTGGAACCTGGTATCTATTATAAGAACATGATTGTGTAAAAACATGTAAAGAATGGAAATATTTAAAATGCACATCTGTATAAAGTATTTCTGATCTATCTTGAGCCTAAGATGGAAACAGCTCAGCACAAGGAACTGTGCATATCTCAGGAGTAATATTTTCTCAGCTTCAGTGTTTTCTTTCTTTGACACCACTCAACACTCTGGAAAACTACCAAAAACCCATCTACTGAATGAAATTCACAGTCTCCATAGCTCTGTAATCCTAACTTCATTACACTTTGCAAACATCATGACACTATTTGCTCCACTTTCTTCCTGGGGAGTCTTGAAAATTTGAAAACTACCCACCTGAATTTCAAATCCAAATGTTCCATTGTCCTGCTTTTCCACAGTAACAAGCTTTCTATAAAAAATAAAATAAAATAAACCACATGGAGTTCAGAGTATCACATCTGATACATATTTATTATTAAAAATCACTACAACAATTAAGAATAACTGGAATTTGTGTAAACTGTAGAACCTGTTATGTGTGTGTGCATGTGTGTCTTAGCAACAGTCTGGAGAGCTATGTTCTTATGTATCTGGGTGGAAAACAACCAAAAAACAAACGAATCTCTTTACCTTTGAGAACAGGAAAATTCACCCAAAGAACTTGATCGAGTCAAAGCAAGCTGAAAAACAGAAAAAGCCTTCAGTTATCTTAAGGTCTTTAAAATACAGATATAAACTGATCTAAATCACACAGGAGCTTGTTCTTCACCACTCTCTTTGGCCCAGCTCCTGGGAGGTTGTTACATAAAGGCAGTCATTTCTAATCCCTAGTGATACCAAAGAACAGTTGGGAACCTGGACTTTCAGTTTTTCGTTTAAAGTAAGGCACTGTGACAAGAGTTCATGTAATGTGGAAGAAATCCAAAGCTTAGAAATATTACTTCATCTCTGGTCTGCATCTAAAGCCTCTGAAGATGAACAGTAACAATGTATGATCACACTCAAATCCAAAGAAAATAGCCCCCACAAAATGCCATGAAACCTAAATCTCTGATGTTTGGAGATGCTGATGAAATAACTGTGTTAAGTGTAATAGTTCAGGATGCTAATGTTTTTAGCAGGATAAAATAATCTCTACAGAAACAACTCATATACAAAACATGAATCAGGTGAAACCAGGGACTCAAAATCTCAATTCTATTTACGATTTATTTTTGCAATAGTTTTGGAAGAATGTAGTGAGATTCCCAGCCAAGAAAGGAAAGGAAACTCAGAATGGTTTTATAAATGGTATAAATAATATCACCTTCACTTCTCGGCATGTTGAAGAAAAGAATCACATAAACATAAACTTTCAGGATATATTCTACCATTTTAACAGAGGAGAGTCAATAAAGAAATCACACTTTGTTTCTTAGGGGACTGAAGCAGATTTTTGTGTGGTTTCTTTGTTTTGTTTGTTTGTAGTTTAGGAAAGGTTAATTAGCCCATTCTCAAGTATTGTTCCAAGGACCCTAAACATAAGCACATGCTACTAGCTAACTTGGTATTTAACTGCCAACTTAATATGGTTGTCATATGTAAGCAAATGCATAAAATGTCCCAATCCAGATAAATAGCCCAGATAAAAAATAAAATAAGTAAAAGATAAGAACCAGATGTAGAAAAATCCATATAAGAATTAATGCATATCTGACTAGTTACCCAGAAGCCTACGTTACTCTGGGGAATTCAAATTACCAGGTCCCAAATGCTAGCAGTCTCACAAATTTTCTGGAGTGTCCCAGTGTTAGTAATCCAGCCGCCAGTCAATGAAGTTAATGTAATGAAGAGGTGAACTCATCCCACATATTTTATGTAAATTAGTTTTATTTGCCTCTTTTATCAGTTTTGGACCTTAACTCAATAATATCCCCCTGAAGACTGAATAAAACAGAATGGCTCAGAGTGGGAAAAAATCCTTAGACTTGCTGAAAAGAATCTACTTTTGATTTATAAGGCCCAAGAGTACATAAAGCCTACAGAAATGTGTGGTTTGTTACAACCTGATTGGGCACCGGAGGTATATGGTGAATAAAAGACAGAGACCATTCAGTTGTTAGTGGACTGCCTCCTTGGAAGGAGGGCCATGAATTTAACATTCTGAGCATTCTCAATCTCACCCTTAGACTGGGCTCACAATTTCTTGATCTATTTTCATTGCCTTCATCTGCTTGCCTTCTTCCTTGAATTCAGATGCTTAAGTACTTAGGTTAGCCATATTTAATTATGTCATCTGTAATCAGGATGTTCTTGCTACCTTGTCTTCATGTTATCTATATATTCACATATGGATGGTCATAGGGTCATATGTGTATATATTTATATGAAGTACATATTTGACCAGATACTTCACATTTGTAGATAATCATCTCTATGCTTCAGGCCTCTTGGGGAAATGTATTTGTTTTTACTTTCCACCCAATTGCCTATCACAGGGCCTAGAATAGAGTGGGAACTTAAAAATAGCAAAGGAGACAAACAGAAATAAACCACTAGACAACACAAGCAAGTGAATGTCGAGGGAAGACCCAAGTATCCAAGTACAAGAGTGTTGTATTAAGATATTCTTTAACTTTGTCTTTCATTAAATTAAGCATTCACAGGAAAACTCAAAGGTAATCACAAAAAAAAGATAAAAGTTTAATTCTCAAATAGATAGCAAGATTTAAAAATAAAAGAAAACAAACAGAAGGGGGGAAACTTCCCTCTATCCCAAAACAGCAGAAAGTAAAGAAAAATCATTAATAGAAAGCCAAGTAAGGCAGTAATGTCCTCATATACAACTGCTAAATGAATGAACGATGGTGGCAAGAGATGATAAATTATTAAAACATCCAGCCTTAGCAATTTCAAATGCCCTTTTCCTAGGCCTATAATCAGAGCATTAATAAGCCTCAAGATTTTCTCCAATTGGCCTTTTAAATAAAAAATCTAAAATCTCTTAGGTTCACAAAACAGATCAGAGACTTCTATAAGAATGAAAGTTCCCCACCTCCCCTTTTTTAACCGTTCTATGTATCCAGTTATACAAAGATGAAAATATTTGTCTTTCACAACATGAGAAACACAGGTGTTCAATTCCTGAGGACTGACTCATTTGTATTATTGTGACACACACACACAAAATCAGACTTAGTCCACTTATAAATTAAGTTTCCATTCTGGATTAGCAAAGAGTTGGTTATAGGCACCTAACATAAATAAAAGTCAATCTGAATAAATTAGACACCATCAAATTCTTTGACATTGGCCACATCTCCACACAGCCTCCTTGATTTTGATCCGGACTATCAGACTAAGGTGATGTGGAAATATCCCAAGGTTCACCCACCAAACTGTCTGCCCAAGTGACATTAAGCATGTCTAAGGTCTTACCAAGGGTCTTACACTTTGGAAGAATTTCCCTTGCACCTTTTTCCTAGGGTGAGCAGCTCAAAAATGTGACTAGCAGAGTTGGTGGTCCCCAGACCACCCTGCCAGCCAGAGCCTCTCCAGACCTGTAGTGAAGGCACCAAAAATCATGAATGAGGAACTGGTGTGCAATTCACGGCATATGCTGGCAACAGCTGTCTTTTATTACACATTATCTAATATGAGAAATCTAGGTTTAGCAATTTGGCAGGCTTGCAAAGCACACATTTGGTTATGACGGCTGAATACACAAAGTTCCTTATCTCCTCACTGGCCACTAATGACGCCTGGCATTGAACTTATCATCGTTCTTCTGTTTTCAGTCAGATGACTTAAAAGATCAGGCATTAATATTCAAAATGTAATTTTTCCTACTATGAAGTGAGAAACCAAGACCAAACTGACTTCAGCTGTCAGTTATCAAAAGACAGGGGAAATCTGCCCCTCAGCCACATAGCTTGTTTGCTTCAAAGAGGCTCAAAGTTCAACACTCTAGCCACTTCTGCTGCTAAGTTACACATGGTTACTTCCTTATCCAGCTCTGAGTTCTCACTTCCTGAAAGAGTGGGATTAGGAGAGCATACAGAAACACAGGTGGGGTTTTTTAATGTTTTGAAAGTCTCAAAATATGAGTTCTGCTCTTTCCAGTCCCCTGTCTCATCTTTACTTCCCAATTGTTCCATGAATCACGCCTCATCCACTTTTGAGTCAGGAGCATTAGGACCACAGGGCTTCCAGAGACTGTTCAAAGATACAACACAATGACTGAGCTGATGTCAATTTTCTAACTTGTAAGTGCCCTTAAGGAACCTAAGCAGAATTTGCAGCTTCTCAGGAAGGTCTGACGGCAGACTCATGGACTTCTTAAATGCCACAAAATGAATCAAAGAATATATTTTTTAAAATTCCTTTGTAGTGAAATAAACATAGTTATCTACCTAACATCTTGAGATAGTCCCAATCCTCTGTAGGAAACCTTGGTCCCTGATAGATGTGCTGACAGAAATACTGAAAGCTCTTAAAGGGCAGAAACAACGGAGAAATACACATTACAGAGTTCAGCCCAAATTCCTTATCTGAACTTGCATGTGAAATCAGTCATCCAGAAATTGCCTATTTAGTAATGATTTCATAACTAAAAGAAACCCAAGCAAAAGGTATCCATCTGTGGTGCCACTAATACACAGCCAAGCTTCTTGCCCGTGTGAGGGGTTCCTGGTTCTCATGATAGCATTCTGTAAAAACTGCTTTCGGTCAAGCACAATCACCACACCTTTGGCCCCCCTCATTAACAAAAACTATCCTTCTTTCTTCTTCCTAAAGAGCTTTCCATTCCAGGAATTTTTCCTCCCTAAAACTGTGTTCAAAATTAGAAGCCTTACCGGGATGTCTGGTGCTTCCTACAAATGCAGCTATTGAAATAATCTGCACACACAGAAATTTATTTTTAAACAATTCTGAATGCAAACACGAACTGATTCTAAAGATTAATCTGAAACTAGAAGCTAACCAGATACAGCTTTGCAGAAACCAAAGCCAACAATAACAAGAAGTATGAATTGTTGACGTCAGCCCTCCCAGTGTTGAAAATAACAGTGGGCCGCAAAGCACCTGCTACTGTGATTGCCTCCCAGGGATCTTGTTGCCTGCTGTTCAGTCAGTGCCAAAAGGGTGATCATTCTCCCCAAACTAGTCTCTACTCACTGACTCACCACATTTCTAGAATAAGATTCCTAAATTCTTTACTGCTCAAACATACAGTGGCTCTCTATGTCCTCTCTATGTCCTCATGGTTCTACATCCTTGGATTCAACCAACCACAGATTGAAAATGTTCAACAAGCAAACACATTGAATCGTGAACATCCATTTGGAAAATTCCAAAATGTTGGGATAGATTGGAATCAAGTTTCATTGATAAAAATTGTATAGAATCAGAAGGTTGTATAAACCCAGAGGTTTGGTTTGGTTTGGTTTTAAAAGCAATGTTCATTACATCAAGAAAGAGCTCTTTGAATAGAGGAAGTCCAGCATGTCTGAGAATATGACAGAAGTGGAAGAGAAGAACTAGAAAAGTGAAGAGCATACACATACATTGATTGGTCTGGGTTGTATGTATGCACTCATGAGTGTATAAACACACACACACACACACACACACATTAATATGCCTAAATCCTCTTTTTAACTTCCACCAGTAATCAGATCTCTTCTACTGATTGCCTTTTTCTAACTCATGCTACTCAGGCTTAAAGTCAAATATGCCTCCTCTGTCTTCAATACCTTTGATATTCAAGTCTTTCCGTCTCTTCTCCATTGTCTCATTTCCTCTTTCTCTAACTAATGCAAAAGTTCCCCCTTCACATCTAGTTTCTAGTCACCAACCCACCCAGTTTCTAGAATAAAGTTCCTAAATTCTCTTCTGTTCAAACACATTCAGTGGTCTCTGGGCAGGTCACATCACAGTCAGCTCCCTGTATCTGCAGGTTCTGCATCTGTTGATTCAATCAACTACCAACTGAAAAAATTCAAACAATGAAAAACTATAGGATCTGCACTTAACATGTACAGACTTTTCTTATAATTATTCTCTAAAGAATGGAATATAACAACTATTTATATAGATTCACATAATACTAGGCATTATAAGTGATCTAAAGATGATTTACAGTATAAGGAAGGCCATGCCTAGTTTATGCACTAGTATTATGCCATTTTATGTCTGTGACTTGAGCATCCCTGGATTTTGACATTCATTGTGGGGGAGGTGTCTTTGAACCAATTCTCCATGGATACCAAGGGATGACTATACTGCTTTCTCAGGGGAAGTTGTCCAAATGTTCTGCAAAGAAGCCCAGGTCTGAGGTCTCCTCGAACCTCCTGCCCATGCATGGGTCCCACTGGCACTATGACTATTGTTACACAATCCTGACCCCAGGCACTAGGATGGTGCCTCAGCAATAATCATTCCCTTCCTCTGTAAAATCCTTGAAGGTTGTATTCAAAGACATGCTACCTGGATGAAAGGATTTATGTCGATTTACTTTGTATAATGCTTATTCATTCCACTTCCTAAACTGTAACCCCTCCGGGCCACAAATGTGCTGCTCTACTCAGTGTCTCCTATGGGTAGCATGACATCTGTCCCCTTGTGGGTGCTCAGAAACTACCTATTGCACTGAAATGTCTGAGCTGAAAAGTAAATAAAATAAGTAAAGCTGCAGGTATGGAGAACATGGAGGGTGGGAAGTAAGTTTCGACTCTGATTCAAAAATGACCAGCTTTAGCAGTAAGTATTCTACCAAAAGCATGAAATCATGGCCTAGTCGAATGAATCATATTTAATATGATAGCTTCAAGCAAATAGAGAGAAAGGAAAACAGGCTGCTCTATATCTCAAAACTGAATAAAGATGTTGGTGTTTTCTTGTTGCTTTATTTTCAGATTGGTTGTCAATTGATGGGAATGTTCATCATTATATTAAACTTTGTACTGTAAAACCCCTTTGGATTGAGAAAGATGAATAATCTAGGTCATGGAAAATCATGTTCTTATCTTCACTGTGAAAAATACCAAAGACTTAACTCATTGGATCATTAAAAAAAGATCATGACTCTCCCTCCATGCTATAATTCCAAGATCCTGATATCAGAAGGATTCAGAGGTGCACATGATGTATACACAAGATTAAGGGAGAAAAAAAAAATCGTGCTCTAAAGCAATTCTGAATATTTTGTAAATAAGTGCTTTTTAAAAGTTTAAATAACAGGATATAACAAATTTAAGAGTAAATCATAAAAATATGCTATGGTTTAGAAACTGAAGGACAAAAAAATCAGAATAAATTCAGGACTTGGATTTTTTTAAGTGAGTTTTCATCTTTAGAGAAATATTCTGCAATAAAAATTTTTAAATAACAGAATTTAGCCTTTCATAAGCACAGTCTGCATATTGGTCACTGTTAGGTACTGTACATTCCTTACCTAAGAATCACAGAGCCTAACAAGGGTGCTTCTACCATTATCTTCATTTTACAAGAAAGCAACCTGAATATTAGACTGGTGACTTGTGCAGTATCCCACAGCTACTAAATAGCTGAAGTGGCACTCTATCCCGCACTCACCTATCCAAAAAAGCCATCCTTCCCAAGAGCATGAGGCATGTGCCAGTGCCCTAGAGGTGAATAAAAATAACTTAGTGCACAGAATTTTTCCAAGAGAAAAAGAATTCTGTTTTGATTATAAACTGAAATTATTGTCAAAGACTGGGAATAGTGAGGATGGGAAGAAAAGAATCAATGAAGACAAAAAGAGGGAAAAGATCAAATCATTCTCATGCCCAACGATTTTCATTTTACTTGAGCACCTCTTCAAATGAGAAAAACAGTCTTTTAAGATGGAAAATAGGTGTTTGATTCTGGTCTCACATCTCTGAATTGGTCTTCTAGATCTGTGCGCACCTTGCCTCTTTCCTCACCCCTAGGCTTGGTCACTAATTCTGATTAGTATGAAGTCAGATGAACATATCACTCTACTCTCAAGAAAACACAAACACTTTTAAGGTTAAAAAAAATAGTCATCATACCTGCTTTCGTCCTCGAGGCAAAGTAGCCACAGTGTCTGCCAGCATCTGAATCCTTCTGTTATCATCCATGGTAAGAGGTCCTGTGAGGGTAGGGTAAGAGCTATATGCTGGACCCCCGCAGTAGTCCACCAAATTGCCATTGCTGCTCTGGTGCAGAAGCCTTTGTAAAGACATTGTGAATAAAGACTACTCCAGCTTGCACATGTCTGAGTGGCCTTGCAGGATGGGGGAAGCTAAATGTACTACCCTCTGACAAGTAATCAAGAGTAGCAGAGCAGAAAGAACCCACGTGACTCCTGTGGTTTGAGGTACTTGTTACACAAACCCTATCTTACTGTTCACTCCCATTTCTCAATGCTTTTTGCTTTAAGCTCCTCAGACAACCTCAAGCGATTTTTTTTACAATTAAAACAAAAAGTTCTTTTCTTATTTTCTCCCTCAAACAGCCAGAACTCTTATCCTTTCATACTTTTTAGCTAGTTGTATTCAAAACTCCATCTGCCTTTTTATTTATTTTATTTTTTAAAAAAAGAATGAAACACTTCCCCAAGTTCTGCCATTTGTTTCCCATCCATGCTCTTCCTTAACGTTAGCAGTACAAAAGCCAGGATGTGCTGACAGTTCTTGTGAACATAAGCAAGAATTACAGGTGTTGGTCATAATGTTCTCTCCTAAAGTCCTTGTAATGTACTTTCCCCGAAGTAGGCACTAGCTCATTAGTGTTCATCAAAAAGACATTCTATCTATCATTTAGGTTATAGCCATTTAGCATTCTTCTCATTCCCCTTCTAGTACTTTGTCCGCTCTAAATTACCCACCATCTTTACACAATAGAGTGGGAAGGGAAAGCCAGCTCACTTAGGGCACAGTGTTGGCCATGGCTTAGATTGGACGTTATTGCAGCATCACTAAGTGGTCTGGGGAATGAAGTGGGCAAGAAGATAACAGGCAAATCGAGTTTCCAGTTGGTCCCTGCAAATGCCAATGAGTATCAAGGGGTGTGGGATGCCAATTTTTTTTTTTTTTTTGTCCCCCAGAGGTCATGGGCAGGTAACTTTGAAAAAACTGATTTGGGGAAGAAGCAGGGGAGGCAGGTTAAAGGAATAATAAAAATGAAAGTGGAAAGAAGTTTTCTAGAACTTTAAATAGAGTTAGAAAAGCTTTGCACTAAAGTAGAATGTGTGTGCTATAAGTCAAGGTGAATTGAGCTCAAGCAAAACTTGTCAAATGTTAGTGGTAACAGGGCTTCCAAAGATGGAGTCATCAGAAATTTGTAAAACCCTGTCACAGCATGACTCATCACTACTAGAATAGAATTATGACACAGGCAAAATGATGTCCTCCCCCCCTAAAATATATATATAAAGATCTAAATAAGAGTTTACAGGTGCACCTGGCTTTTGGGGTAGGTAGTAGCCATGCTACAGATTTTGACAAGTAAATATACCAATTATTAAGATTTTCATGTCATATATGTTTGTATGTGTGTGTGTGTGTGTGTGTATATATATATATATATATACACACACACACATGAGAGAAACTCATTTTTAAAATCATCTCTAGGCTATGAAGCACATAGCTATAATCAACATTTGTTGCTTCTGTTTTTGTTTTGTTTTGCTTTACTTTGCTTTATTTTGTTATTGTTACTGGGGATTCAACCCAGAGGCCCTCTACCATTGAGCTACATCTTTAGCTCTTTTGTTTTTCTTTTTCTTTTTCTTTGTGTGTGTGTGTGTGTGTGTGTGTGTGTGTGTGTTAGTGTTACTAGGGATTAAACCCAGGGTGGTAGAGCACTGAGCTACATCCTTAGCCCTTACTTCTCCCTCCCCACCCCCCTTACTGGGAATTAAATCCAGGGGCGTTCTATGACTGAGCTATACTCCCAGCCTCATCCCCTTGCTTTTTTTCATGAGGCAGGGTCTCACTAAGTTGCCCAGGATGGCCTTGAACTTTCAATCCTCCTGCCTCAGCTTCCCTAGAGACTGATATTACAAGTATGCATCACTGCACCCAGCTAAATCCACACTATTAATGATCCATCAATATATCAACTCCTAGGAATTTTTAAGTTATGTAAATATTTTAATATCATAAAATAGCAAATATAAATTATGTTTGCTTTCTCTAAGACTACATAGGCCAACTGACACAACAAATTTTATAGATGAGTACAAAATTTATACCAATTCCGTATCTTACACTGATCTTCAGCTGTATATTATAAAAATAAATCAATAATTAAGGAACTGGAAAATTATTATGTAATTTATGAAGTGTGCTTACAAGCAGAATCATTCAGATTATGGGCTTCATGAGTGTAACATCAGAAGCAAAGGTGTTTGGTTCTAATATTCTGTCAATAAATATGTGGTCACACCTGTTATTTATATCCTTATTAACTGTTCAATTTTTATTGGTCAGTTCCTGTTCTGATTGCCAGGCCCTGTCATACTAGTGATTAGATATTTTAAATAATATCCTGATCAAATGTGTTCCTTGTGATAAACTGTAGGAAAACACCATTTTTTTTTTAATGAGAATGTGGCTTTCAAACATCAAACTCTTTGACATATAAAAATGTTTGACTTATAAAAACTGTTCTACTATTTACAAATTTGCTTCTCTTTAGGATTTATCTGGGGGCAATTATAATAGCCTGAACTCTCTTCCCCTACAGACTCCACTTTACTTTAGAAAGGTGTTTCTGAAAATAAATCAGATCAAGCTGTCTACCAACTCGAAAGGTTTCAAGGGTACCTCACTGTGCACAGAATAAAATCAAATAAAAATATTTCCAAGCTCTTATCTGACTTCATTTTCTGAAATTTTATATCATATATTTTTAGATCTTTCTTTTGAGATATTACATATTATACCTGGATTATAGTTAATTGTATGCAAGTCTATTTCTCCACTAATACCTAATTTTCTCTAATTTCTTTAAAAGGAAGGGCCATTAAATTTATACTTCATGTCTTAAGCATAAAAATTGTTCAGTAAATATTTGTTAATAAAAAATGTAGAAGCAATATATATTGAAAAAGGGGATTTTTTTTTTAGTTCAGAAATACTGTTGTTCTGAAGCATCAAATAAGATAAACCAAATTTGTAGAAAATAGATGTACTATAAGCTCATATTTCAAATTGCAAACCTCCCCAAAAGGTTAACTGACAGATAAGTACAGAATCTCTCTTAAAACTGTCAGCGACATGCTCAATAACTAACATTCCTTTATTTGGATGGGGAAGAACATTCCTCTTATTTGGAGCATGTTTTAGTCAGCTTTTTCGTTGTTGTGACCAAAAGACCTGACTGGAACAATTAGAGGAGGAAAAGTTTATTTGGGGGCTCACAGTTTTAGAGCTCTCAATCCACAGAAGACCAAGTCCATTCTTCAGGGTACCACGTGAGGCAGAACATCATGGCAGAAGAGTGTGGTGGAGGAAAGCAGCCCAGGACAGAGAAACTGTCCTGAAGTACAGAGAAACTAAGCTCAGCTCACCAAATATGCACTCCAAAGGCACACCCCCAATGACCCACCTCCTCCAACCACACCCCACCTTTCTACAGTCACCACTCAGTTAATCCCTATCAGGGGATTACTGCACTGATTGGGTTAAGACTCTCAAAACCCAATCATTTCACCTCTAAACCTTCTTGTATTGTCTCACCCATGAGCTCTGAGGAGACACCATGCCATAACAGGGCATTTTGTTCATACATAAGGAAATACCCTCGGAAGGAATTAGTCTTGAAATGAACCCTGAGGGGTTGGACATGGAAAAGATTTGGTAGAGGCAGGTAAGAGAGATATGCCAAAGAGTGGGGAACACAAGGTCTTGGAGAAAATATTGCCAACCATTTCTAATCCTTATGAGAATCTTAGGCAGCTATAAAATGTTCAGAGCAGAGTTCCGGTGCTAAGCTACTACTTAGATTCAAATCCAGACTCTGCTGCTTTAAAGAATAAGCATTGAATTGTGTCTCCTAAATTCTTATATTAAAGCTCTAATCCTCTATGTGGCTATACTTGGAGATAGAGCCGGTAAGGGCATAATTAAGTCAAATGAGGGTGGACATATAGGACCCTTACAGGATAAGACTAGAGCCCTCAAAAGAAGAGATACCAGAGATTCTCTCCACCATGTAAGGACACAGCAAAAAATCGGCCATCACAGGGTAGAAAGAGCCCTCGCCACAAGCTTGATCTTGAACTTCACAGCCTTCGTAACAGTGAAAAATAAATTTATGTTTTGTAAAGCCACCCAATATGTGGTATTTCTTGTACTGTGGCATTTGTTATGCTATGGTATTAGTTATGGTGCCTAAGCTGATTAATATACTCTATAAACCTCAGTTTTCACAGTTCTGAACAAAAGGTTTTAGGGAGGAATAGATAAAATAGCCCATTAACAGTGCATGGTACAGAATAAGCTATTATCTTAAGTAATAAGAATTCAGAAAGAAAAGCTTCAAAGGAAATGACTTTGATTCTTTATGAGCTGCCCCGTCCATTACCACATGATCATACATGCAGCAGGGATGCTCTTATTCATTAGGTTGCATGTGGGAGGGGAGTTGAGTGGTTGTTTAAAAAACAGGGGTTCTTCTGTGTCCTGACTTTAAAATAGTTTTTGACTTTTTTCTTTATTTTACTTTGGCTGTTTGCCTTTATGTGAACAAGATTTTATTTGGCTTCCTAGACTGCCACAGCATTTTGTTTTGCTTTGTTGTTTCACTAATTGGTTTTATTTTGGACTTTGCCTTTATTTGGATAGAAAGCCTTTATTTGACTCTCTGGAGTAACATAAGAGATGGGTTAATGTTATACAGGCAGTATTTTATTTTTATTATTGTATATTTGAATTTATGTAAGGTAAATTTGATTTATACACATATATAAACAAATGTGTATATATGTGTGTGTATATATATTTAGTATCATGAGAAACAAAAAATTAATCAATTATCTTGGCTACTAAATAAAATTGGTAGGTTATATCCATTTGTTTATATAGTGATGATTTAGTGAAATGAGTTCATTGAAATCCATTTAAGTTGAAGAGCAGGATCTTAAACACTTAGGCAAGAAAATAAAATATATATAAATAGAAAGTGGTGTGTGTTTGAGTATGTGTGCATGTGTCATAAGGCAGAAATAAAAAATACACCAATAATTGTAGAAGATATTGAAAAAGTAGTCAACAATCTGTCCTTTGAAAGATCATGAGATGCAGATTAT